GAGCTGTGCTCCTGTTCCTGGCAGATGACACCTGTTTGCAGTTGGGCCATTTCCTCAGCCTGCTTCTGTTAACGAACCCACAAGGGCCGCACAGAAAGCTAATTACTGAGACAATGCTGATTGTGAAAGAAGAAAGGATTTATCACAGGAGACATGCTACTGGGAGGAGGGAGGTATAAAGTACCTCAAATCCTCCTCCTCCTCCACCAGCAGTCGGGGGCTCTTCTGGAGGTGAAATGAATAATGCGTGAGAGGAGTGAGCATCATTACATGTTTGGGGTGAGCGCAGGGCACGCAAGCGCAGTGAGAAATCACGTTAGTGCATACATCCCATGATCAAAAAATGGTGGGTGAGTCCCTCTCAGGGCAGGGATTTTAGTAGTATAACGAGTGAGGGGTTAATATTGGGCATTCTTGTAGGGGGGATGTGAGGATGGTGGGTTCAGCTGGTCCTTGGGCACAGTCTGTGCTGGGTGGGGTTTTGCTTATCTTGTCTTCTCTGGACAGACAGGTGGTGTAAGCCTTTGTATAATAGTTACCTTATGGCTGCAAGGAGATTCCACCATTTCTGGAGAAAAAATTCAAAAGGAATGCATCAGTGCAACAGAAAGTTACAAAGTTTTGGTCAGCAAATCTTACTGAGTCTGCTAAGAAACTGCAGTTGCTAAGTTACAGGTGTTGAGATAAAACTCACTGTCTATGATATCACCAATTCAAGGCCACTTAGAGCAGCCAGTTCTAGCCATAATGTGAACACTGAAAGCTCATTTGAAACAAAAGGGAACTAAACGTACTACTAAAAAACCATTTTCTTGCTTATGGAGACAGTTACACTTTCTGCTGGTAGGTTTTTGGGGTCCAGTGCCTGCTTTTCATTTTGTACTGCCTCTGACCTCTTTAGTTCAAGCTGGCAGTGTTTCTGCTGTTACAATTTTCTTAAAAATTCTGTGGGCCTCCTGTGAATCTCATTGGTGTTCACTCCTGTAGATAAGCCTTACCCCGAAATCTCTTTGACATGAGCCTTTCTCTACTCCTGAAGGGGAAGGAATGATGCCCATAAACTTCCCAGAGGCCCAGTTCCACGAAAGGGTCCGTGAGGCACATGTTTAATCTCTTTAGAGGGACTGGTTTGTACCTTCAGTTACACATAACAGTCTTCACTTGATGTCACGTGGCCGTAGGCCTCACCTTGGATGGGAGCAGAGGCGTGAGCAGCTGGGCGGCTGGCGGTCAGGAGCCATAGGGCAGTGGGCTGCTCAGAGGAGAGCCAGGTGGTGGGAGGTGCGACGCTGATGACACGAGTTTAGAGAAGGGTGAGGTGAGAAGGAGACATATAGGTGGGCTCTCCTGGCGCATGGTGATGCCCCGAGTAGGGTAAAGGAGCCACGACCCAGAGGTTGGACGAGGGTTGTTCTAGCAGGCATTGCCCTTGCAGGGATGAAAGTGCCGAGCAGGTGTTGTTGGTTGGTCCAGTAAAGTGGCCTGAAGCGGCCTTCGTGATTGGCACCTGCCATCTCATCCCCTGCAGTGTGTGTCCTGCTGTGTCGGGAAGGGCAGGTCCAGGTCAGGCTGGGATGGGGAAGGGAAGGGAGAGTGGCCAGGGACTCAGCAGGGTCTTGGTGGGTGGCTAGACACAGGGAGGGGCCGCGTGTGTCTGCAAGGGTGCGTCTCGGTGGGGGTGGGTCGGGTCTTCCAGGGTGCGTGTGTCACTGATGTGGGTGGTGGGAGAGGTGGGGCAGGGTGGGTGTGCTTGGCAGCTGTGGTGTCTGGAGGAGGCTGCTGGGACCTGATGCTTGTGGGAGAGTTTGGGGCTGGGGTCTGCCAGTGGGCAGGTCCTAGTTGGGAAGGGTGCAAGGTGCCCGTCTGTCTGGGTGAGCCGAGAATGGTCCAGGTTCAAATCTGCTGCTGTCGTTAATTAGCTGTGTGATGGTAGACAAGTTACTTTACATCTCTGCACCTCCATTCCCTCATCTGCAAAATGGGAATAATAGTACTGACCTCAGAGGGATGTTGTGTGGGATGGCCCCAGTTACTCGTGTCAGATCCTGAGAGCGGTGGGCCACGCGGAGCCTGGCATGTGCCATTCATGGCTGTGATTACGTTGCTGTTTCGTTCGTGTTACTGACCTTTTCTCTTGTCCTCAGTGCAGCGAGACACTCTCTGCTGGTAGGGTCAGCTTCTCCGTCCCGCACCAGTCATGTGTGCACGGTTGGTGCTGACTGTGCTCGGGTCTGTGCACCCAGCTGCGCCACCCCCTGGTTAGTTTTGAGAGACAAATGAGGAAAGGAAGACAATGCAGGCTGAGCAGCCCTCATGCGAGGTGCTCCAAAAGCCGGACCTTCTGAGCACCTGCAAGACACCGCATGGGGGGCTGAGATAGTGACGACTTTGCTTTCTGATGGTTCAGTGTATACAAACTTTGTTGCATATACAAAATTATTAAAAACACTGTATAAAATTACCTTCAGGTTATGTGTATAAGGTGTCTATAAAACATAAATGAATTCATGTTTAGACCTGGGTCTTGTCCCCAAGATATCTCATTGTGAATATGCAGATGTTCCAAAATCAGGAAAAATCCAAAGTCTGAAACACTTCTGGTCCTAAATCCTGGGACAAGGGACACCACTGTGTGATGTGGCTGTGACTCCTGATAGAAGGCAGGGCTGTGGTGTGGCGACCCACCAAATCCAAGTCTCCCCATCTCGAGATCTTAACTTGATCACCTGTGTCGTGGTGGAGTTCCTTTGGCCATGGGAGGTGACATCCACATGTTTGGAGATTAGGACATGGGTGTGTTAGGGGTTGTCAGCCAGCCCATCACACCCCGTGAAGAAGAACCAATGAATGAGAAGATCCCAAAACATGTTTCTTGGCCAACTCTAATATATATATTTTTAATGATGAATATTAAATAGTTAAATATCTAGTCATAATATTGAAATTAATAATATAGCACCACTCAGATATTGAATAATGTAGTAATTTATAGATCAGTTGTTCATTTTTCATTCTTACATATAAAAATTTTAATTTAAATATGCATCTTATATGTATTTCAGTGTTTTCATTAAGTGACTCCATTTTTGGAGTCATCTAATAATAGACTTTCCATTTTGCTTAGTTCTTTTGCTCTGTGTGTATGTATGTGTGTTTGTGTAAAAATTACTTTGTTACTTTGAATCTGTTTATGATTCTGTCTTTGGAAACTATCCCAAGATACAAGAATCTCTTCTAACAACTTTAAAACATTTAAGAAATGTGTGCTCTTTAAAAAAGTACTCTGTCTTATATTTTGGATCTTCACAACATAATCGCTAACTGCAGTGGTCCCCAACCTTTTTGGCACCAGACACTGGTTTCGTAGAAGACAATTTTCCACAGACTGGGGTGGAGGATGGTTTCAGGATAATCCAAGCGCATTACATTTATTGTGTGAACCTCTTGGCTAATGATAATCTGCATTTGCAGCTGCTCCCCAGAGCTAGCATCACTGCCTGAGCTCTACCCCTGGTCATCAAGCATCAGATTCTCACAAGGAGCATGAAACCTAGATCCCTCCCATGTGCAGTTTATAGCAGGGTTCACGTCCCTGTGAGAATCTGATGCTGCCGCTGATCTGACAGGAGGTGGAGCTCGGGCGGTGGTGCGAGCGATGGGGAGCGGCTGGACATACAGATGCAGCTTTGCCCGCTGCTGCTGTGCGGCTGGTTGGGGATTATAGATTTACTGTATTGCTTTTTAAAGTGACCTTTAAAGGGTCCCGTGCAGAAGAGAGACACATGGCAGGCCTGACACTGTGTCCTGAGAGAGAGAACTTGCCAGGCAGGCCTGGGCTGTCGTCTGGGAACTTGACGAGAGGCTTCCTGTGCCCCAGCTGTGCACAGTAGGGTTATGCTGAACCCCTGTCACTTCCTGGGGGTCTGGAGTTTCAGCATGTGCCAGGCAGAGGGTGCCCCTGTGACCAGCCCCCAGTAAAAACCCTGGTGCTGAGTCTCTTAATGGGCTTCCCCTGTGACAGCACTTTGCACGCACCTGCTGCTGGGGGAATGAAGCGCTTCCCGTGTGTCTCCCCTGGGAGAGGATTCTGGAAGCTTGAGCCTGGTTTCCTCCGGACTTCGCCCCAGGTGCCTTTTCCTTTGCTGACTATGCTGTGTGCACTTTTGCTGTGATAAATCCTGGCCCTGAGTGTGCCTCTGTGCTGAGTCTGCAACTCCTCCCAGCCATTGCTGAACCTGGTGTGGTCTTGGGCACCCGGCAGGTTTGTTTTCAAGGACAACCAGTAACTTTCAATTTTGAAGTCTTACCTCTTGTAATAATGACACAGCTAAAGATTGCATTTTTTTGCTGTTTTTGGTTGTTTTTATCTATTCTATTGAGTGACCCTGCAGTATTGATTGAGGTTGTTTCAGACTAGTGTGTTTTCCCCACGTGGTACTTTGTTCAAAATAAATTAATTATGGAGGGTTGTGGATCATGAGTGACTATAAGGTGACCTCCTCTCCTGAGGGGGATTGTGGAGGGGATTTGTGACCTAATCAGGGTTTGGTCTTGGGGGCGTCCAGGTGTCTGAACCTACGGTGTGTGGCATTGGACTCTGCCGTCCTGCCAGGTGCTGTTCGGGGCAGCAGATCTTCAGGGTAGCTGGAGTCTGTTTCTGCTGGGCTGCCGGGCCCACACTTTGGGTGGGAAGGGGCTTTTCCTCCAGAACTGTTGGGGTGGTACCGAAAGCAGCAGCCTCCAGGTGCCACACCCTTGGTAGAGGTGGTGGGCCTGGTCGGAATCGGAGTCGTAACACGATGCAGTTGAGGGAGATGTTTTCTACTTTGAAGGGAAGTTTCTTAGCCTGACTTTAAGATTTATTGTACACAGATGCTGCTTCTCCTTCACCTGGGCAGTTATGTGGTACCTAGAGACTTTTCAGTGATGACACTTAGGTAATACCAGTAAGCATAGAAATACGGAATCTTTAATAATGAGCTATTATTTTTCTTCCTTAGGGCATTATTTCAAGAAAAAATATGATAGCATCAAGCATTCCCTGGAGCGTGGATCAGCTGGAATAAGGAAATATGCTCCTTGTCTGGGAAGCACGTCGGGATGTATAGAACGGGCGACCCGGGGAGGCGGCCACTGCCCCCGCGGGTGCGGAACGTGGAAGTTGCCCGGGGCAGGGCCGGCTACGGGTTCACGCTTTCTGGGCAGGCGCCCTGTGTGCTAAGCTGTGTTATGAGAGGAAGCCCCGCGGATTTTGTAGGCCTCCGTGCTGGAGACCAGATCTTTGCTGTCAATGAAATTAACGTGAAAAAAGCTTCTCATGAAGATGTAGTGAAACTAATCGGGAAGTGCTCTGGCGTCCTGCGCATGGTGGTGGGTGAAGGCGTCGGCCACTTGGAGTCCTGTTCTAGTGATGAAGAAGGCGGACTTTATGAAGGAAAAGGCTGGTTGAAGCCCAAACTTGATTCTAAAGCCTTAGGTATAAATAGAGCAGAGCGAGTCGTGGAGGAAATGCAATCTGGTGGAATTTTCAATATGATTTTTGAAAATCCGAGCCTCTGTGCAAGCAGTTCAGAGCCCTTGAAATTGAAACAAAGATCCCTTTCAGAGTCGGCTGCTGCTCAATTTGATATTGGACATGAAAGTATAAATGATCCAAATCCCCATGTGTTTTCCAAGGAGGAAGTATCGAAAGTTATTAATGATGATTCAGTTTTCAGTATTGGGCTAGAAAATCATGATGATTTTGGGTTAGATGCAAGTATTTTAAACGTTGTCATGGTCGTGGGCTATTTAGGTTCTATCGAACTCCCTTCCAGGAGCTCCAGCCTGGAGTCTGACAGTTTGCAGGCCATCCGCGGCTGCATGCGGCGCCTGCGGGCGGAGCAGAAGATCCACTCCCTGGTGACGATGAAGATTGTGCATGACTGTGTGCAGCTGTGCACCGACAAGGCCAGGGTTGTGGCTGAGTACCCGGCTGAGAAGCTGGCCTTCAGTGCTGTGTGCCCTGACGACAGGCGCTTTTTTGGGCTGGTGACCATGCAGACCAGCGACGATGGGAGCCTGGCCCAGGAGGAGGAAGGTACCCTGCGGACTTCCTGCCATGTATTTATGGTGGACCCAGACTTATTCAATCACAAGATCCACCAAGGCATTGCCCGGCGGTTTGGGTTTGAGTGCACGGCCGACCCTGACACCAGTGGCTGTTTAGAGTTCCCTGTGTCCTCTCTGCCTGTGCTCCAGTTCATCTCCGTCCTGTACCGGGACATGGGTGAGCTGATTGAGGGCGTGCGGGCCCGTGCCTTTCTGGATGGGGACGCTGATGCCCACCAGAACAACAGCACCAGTAGCAATAGTGACAGTGGCATTGGGAACTTCAACCAGGAGGAGAAGAGCAACCGGGTCCTGGTGGTCGACCTGGGTGGGGGCTCTACCAGGCATGGCCCAGGTGGCAGCACTGTGTGGGAGGGGGCGGGAGGGAGGGCCACGCAGTCCTGGGGGGCCCCCTGGAATGGGGCCTTCTGCCACGACCCCGATGGGAGCTCCCCACCTGAAGTCACTCCTCAGACTGACAGGTTCCGGGACTTAAACAAGCACTTAGGACCGGCCTCTCATGTGGAGGTCCCCCTGGCTTCCTCGCGGAGTTCAGTCCCTCCTCCCAAGAGGGGCACTATGGGTGCCAGCTGTGGTTTCAGCCAGCGGTGGCTCCCGGTCCACGTGCTTCAGGAGTGGCAGTGTGGTCATGCCAGTGACCAGGAGTCTTACACGGATTCCACCGATGGGTGGTCCAGTGTCAACTGCGGCACTCTGCCCCCACCCATGAGCAAGATCCCAGCGGACCGATACAGGGTCGAAGGTAGCTTTGCGCAGCCCCCACTGGGTGTCCAGAAAAGGGACTGGTCCAGGAAGGCTTTTGGAATGCAAAACATTTTTGGTCCCCATCGAAATGTTCGAAAGACTAAAGAAAACAAAAAGGTAAGCCTGTTAGCTTCCATTTGGCATAAATAAGCTTGATTTTATAACTTAGCCAGTTTCTGGTGAGATGCCACATTCATCACCCCAACAATCTCTGGCAGGCCTGTGGCTCCTACGTATTGTCACACGATGTCTGCCCTGCCGCAGAGGGTCTTCCCAGGAGCCCCCAGCCCAGCTCAGGTCCCTGGTGCTGGACCTGGCTCTGATGGCTGGTCTTGGGCAGGATGCCGGGCAGAAGGAAGTGAGGCCTTTCTCCTTCTCCCTGCCCCTCTCCCTGTAGCCCCTTCACAGCCCATTTTATTTCTGATCCCAGAGTCTGAGACAACATGCCCTTTTCAAGGTGAGAATATTCCTGAAGCACAGAGAGCCTGTTCCCAGGAGGGTACAGAGCTTCCTCACATCTGCTCCTCATTCAGCTTTCTCCTTGGAAGAAACCCTGCTGTGCCAAATGCCACTGCCCTGGGAGCCTTTGGGGTCTTTGCCTAACCTTAGGGGCTGAGTTTAGAGGATGAGAGAGAAAAAAAATGAGAAAAGCAGGGAGCCCTCTGGAAGGACTTCATTTGACAGGTGCTGGGGGGCACAGGTGGGTGGTACTGGGAGCCAGGGCTGGTGACGGGAGAGGGGGATTGGCACAGCTCGTGTTTCAAAGCAACTTTTTTCAGAGGATGTTTGCAATGTAAAAATACCTTTTTTTGTGTTTGTTCACATTTTTGTTCTTGATAGCTGAGATAGCTGAGAATATCCTGAGAAAACACTCTGAGGCTGGGGGCTGGTTGGGCAGGGCCGTGGCTAGAGGAGTGTGGTCTGGGCTGCAGGGCTTGATGATGTTCTTGCTTGGCCCCCTCCCAGCTCCACATGTTTCTTTGTCATGATATATGGTACATTAAAGGAAATTTTAAAGATGGAAGAAGGGCCGGGCGCGGTGGCTCACGCCTGTAATCCTAGCTCTCTGGGAGGCCGAGGCGGGCGGATTGCTCGAGGTCGGGAGTTCGAAACCAGCCTGAGCAAGAGCGAGACCCCGTCTCTACTATAAATAGAAAGAAACTAATTGGCCAACTAATATATAACTTAACCAAGAGGTAAAGACCTACAGGAGAGCTATGAAACACTGAGGAAGGAAATAGCAGAGGATGTAAACAGATTGGAAATCCATACCATGCTGTGGATCGCAGACTCAACATCATTAAAATGTCTATACTACCAAACTGATCTACGATTAATGCAATACTATTAAAATCCCATCAGCATACTACAGAATAGAAAAAATAATTTTATGCTTCGTATGGAACAAAGAAGACTCGATATAAAAGAATTCTAGGACAAACAAAATGAGGCACTTAATATGCCAGATATCAAAACTAATACTTCATGCTGTAGTAATAAATCAATCCTGTGTATTGGCACAAATAAGAATATTGACAGTGAACAGATCTGAGAATCCTGTATAACCATCCTTATATAGCAAACAAAGGCAGACAAAAAATCATGCTGGGAAAAGATCCTTTTCATAATGGTGCTGGAAAACTGGATAACCACTTGTAGAAGGCTGAAAGCCGGACCCACACCTTTCACTCTCACAAAATCAAACTCACGCGATAACAGACTTAAACCTAAAGGTTGAATTATTAGAATTCTAGGAAATGTGAGTAACATCTCCTAGATATCGGCCTAGGAAACAGTTTTGAAGAAGTCCAAAGGCAATCACAGCAGCAACAAAAAATAAATCAAATGGGACATGATCAAACTAAAGGCTTCTGCACAGCCATAAAAATACGTCATGAAGGGCTAAACAGGACAACTAGCAGAATGGGAAGAAAATTTTGCATCCTACGCATCGATAAATGGCCATACAAACATGAGAAAATGCTCAACACTCTTTATCATCAGGGAAACAAATCAAAACCACAATGAATATCACTTAACTCCAGCGAGAGATGCTTTATCAAAAGTCTCCAACAATAGAATGCTGGCGTGGATCAGAGAGAGAGAGAACACTCTACACTGCTGGTGGGACTGAAACTAGTCCAACTTTGAAAGCAATATGGACGATAGTAAAGCCATACAAGTGAATCTACCATTTGATCCAGCAATCCCATCCGGGCATCTACCCAAATATCCAATGACACTCACAAAAAAGGACTCCTTGCA